GAAGTGGACGCAAAAAGGCAAAAACAAACTGTTTTTAGTACACTTTGAAAGAAATTTGGAACAGTAAATTATTTCGCAGTAACTTTTGTCGAAGTGAAACGATAAAATCTGAATCTTCTGAAGAACGATTAAAGCTCTTTCATGAGTAATTCATGGGATCTCGGACAAGATTTAACGGAAATTTCGTCTTTAATGCTTTTCAAAAGTTACACACAATACAATCAGTACCGCTCAACTCGAAATGTCCAAGTTTCGCTTCAAGGCTATAAAAAGTAAGTGTTAACTGTTGGCGATAACGTAAACAATAGAGTGCCACCCCTGTTGATAATAACACTTCGCAACTAACTAACGTTTGTCAAAACGTATAAACAAAACGAGTGCAGCCCTACCTGCGCCGGCGCAGGTAGAGTCGGCGGCACAATGGCATTCCTGGCATCCGAAATGAATCAAAATTCGGCGCAGCGACCGCTATCGCTGCCAGGACCCTCTGATAAATTACAATAATAATGGTCACGTCTATTGTTGTTATTGGGGGATGATTTCATTAGCCGTGCGCGCGCGCAGGTGCATCGCCCCAACGTTGGCCAACACAACCGTTAACTGTCGTACTATTAGCGTCCACATAAAATCGAATGCACCCAAAGTGTAGCGCTCGAAAACTTTCCCGAGTCTCCTAATAAGGAGCGTCCGGCCCGAAAATTAAAAAGGCATATCAGTAAATGTCATTTATGGACAAGTCGGGCGTGTTTATTAGAGTGCGCCAGCGAGTCCTCCCCACTGAAGCGACTGGTTCCATTATTTGTATGGAACGGCGACCTCCCGCGCCGACGGGAACAATGAAAGTGAGAGAGGGCAGGAATGCACGGGGCGCGGCGCGGGCGCGGGACGCCGGTCCCGGTTCCCAGGCGAGGAATGCCAGCACAAGCAACAAAGCCTACCCGCCGCCATTCACCCGCCTCCCCCTCCCCCGCACCCCTCTAGCGGTTCCATCTCAGACACGTAATTTTTCGTGACTTTCCCCTAAGTAGCTTTTACGATGGCGTGGATCGGAACCGATACGAGCGTTCAATATTCAAAAATCGTCGCATGCCCCCATTATCAGAACATGAAAGGGAGTTTTCGTTTGATTTCGCCGATGCGGCAAATAAATGTCGATCGACTGCGGATTTCTTTATGCGCGCTGATGTGAGTGACGTGTCAGCCGGAGCGGGTCTGATTACAGGAGCGTCGTTGTTCCGTCCACGGGCCGAGTTCAGGGCCGGTGTTGCGTCGCGCCCAAACAGCTGACTTTACTGCAACGCCCGGCAACAACACAATATCCTATCAAAGAATCTAAACGACAAAGGTCAAACAACTTTATCAAAGACAAACATTCTTTTCCACAATCGGTAAAGTCCACAAACTCATTTTTTTTCTATATGTGATTTNCGTGATTAATTGAACGCGACATCGGAATTCGATTGAATGTTACAACAGTATTTATCTTCTGTAAGTGAGACGTCAACGGTGTATTTTAGAAATTAATGGCTGTATTTAATGACAATATTCAAATAAACTTTAATAGATTGTATTTATGAATATCATTCAGGCTGTATTTGCTTTTGATATACAATATCTGTTGAGAGGGAAAATATTCGATGAAATACACCAATGGGAATGATTTATTATGGCTATTAAGGGGACGAGGCAGGTTGAAAGGTAAAAGGCGCTCACATTGAATCTGTAATGTTCAGGCTCCGGGGAACTTATTGGAAAGCGGGCACCTTGTATAGAAACTGCAAGATAAGTAAGTACCTAATAATGACAGTAAAAACGGCGTAAACATTCTGTTATTCTATTTTCGAATGATAGCCGGGTTATCAAGTGCAAAGAGTTTATAAAGAAGCGTCGAGATCTGAACTTGACCCAAAGCTCTACATACGAATACGAATCTTCTTTAGCATAATAATGTGACCATGCTAATCAAATCAAGTATTTAGCGAACTGTTATCTAATTAAGGCCCGATTCGACCAAACTTTTATCAAAACATTGACAGTTTCAGTATGGGAAATATGACAGTTTAGACATATTTCCCATACTTACTGAAACTGTCAATGTGCCATTGGGTTATACCAGTGGGTCTAGACAAAGTGCAAATTATAATCGCAAACCAGTCGAAAAGTGGTCGAAAAGCCCCTTTTTTGTATGGAGTTTTGACAGATTCGATTTTCGATTCGATCAAAAAGTGCGTTTTGTCTAAGGGGGCTGGAGTTACTCTAGGATAAAAGTTTTTCCGAATCGTGCCTTAATAGATCACTTTATTCCCCATTCATAGCATGTTCATTCATAAGTAGTCAGTGGTAATGGCTGGAAGTATTGTTCGGCCAGGCGTGTTGAAGGACGACACCGGAGCCGCGAGCGGCGCGTGCGCTGACACCTGACACCTCTGCAGTACCTCTAGTAGGAAAAACTTTCGAGTTCGTTTCGTTGCGTATTCAAAGTGTCATCGAAAAATTTTGTATGAAAAATTAAACAGCGCCCCCTAGGGCGGCTATAATGTAGGGGGCGCTGTTTAATTTTTCATACAAAATTTTTCGATGACACTTTGAATACGCAACGAAACGAACTCGAAAGTTTTTCCTACTAGAGGTACTGAACTCCTCGGCGTGGAGGCACTGATAATGCGGCCACGTCTCACAGACAATTGGTTCGAAGTCCACGCGACAGAATACATAACTAAGCAGGTAGGTACATAAAGTCAATTACCTATTTTCGATTTCGTATTTCAGAATTAAAGAAACGTATAAGCTTTGGAAAACCTGATAAGTGAGAACTTTTAAAACCCGGCTTGATACTACTGGTATAAATCTGAATCAGAATCCATATTGCTGAAATATTTTACCTACATATTTTGAACGTCCCATATAATGTCAATGTACGACTTCAGGAGTTCTTCAAAACATTCACTGCCTTTTACATAACTATCATATTTCGAGAAACTAGTAGATTTTCCGGTTAGTACCCATCNAATTATTTTTTATTACGAGTCATTGGCGTATATGGGGTTATTTTAATGGGGGGGGACTACCCTCACTTGAAGCAGTTCCAGGGGTGGGGGGTTAGTCGCCCGCCCACATTTTTTAAATTTAGACTTGTATGAATATTTTCACATCGTTAGAAATAAAAAAATCTAAATTTTATGCGTAAGAAGGGGAGGGGGGGGGGGGAAGGCCCCCCTACATTTCTGATGGTTATATAAATATTTTCACATATTGTTAGAATAATAAATCAAAACTTTATACGAAGGTACGTAAGTACCTACCTAGCTAGACAGCCTCACATTATTCTCATGAATATTTCAGGTAAGTAATATCGTCAATTTCACAGAATTATTTTATTCTAAATTTATACTATCGTTTTTAAATTTATTAAACCCTTAAACATTATTAAAATATCCTAACTCGATGCGTAAACCTTTATTCCGAAATAGGGGACATGAGTTCACGAACTTAGAAACAGAGCAAAATTTTATCACGAAACAGGATCCAAACAAGAGGTCCGCAGAACAATTAATATTAAAAAAAGTTTAAACAATATAACTATAATTTATGTATTAAGTTACTGTCAAAAGACCAAACTTTAGCATACAAAAGCTTTCATACTGATATCATCCTTGGTTATTTTTAAATAAATTGTTAAAGTCGTAAGAGCCTTAATATACCGAAGTAGGGGGCACTTACCTTAAGCAGGTAGGTACATAAAGTCAATTACCTATTTCCGATTTCGTATTTCAGAATGAAAAAACGTAAGCTTTGGAAAACCTGATAGGTACATGAGAACTTTTAAAAACCCGCTGGCTTAATAGTACTACTGGTATAAATCTAAATCAGAATCCATATTGCTGAAATATTTTACCTACATATTTTGAACGTCCTATAATGTGAGTGTACGACTTCGGGAGTTCTTCAAAACATTCACTACCTTTTACATTACGATCATATTTCGAGAAACTAGTAGATTTTCCGGTTAATACCCATCCACCAACTTGACTTGCGAAAATCGCTATGACGCAGCATTACCAATAATGAGGATAGCTGTGCTTACGGAAGGAGAACGGAATATAATGGCTTAACTGTTATTTATGGTAACAATAAGTTATCCATACTGTTTCCCCTTCGTATTGCTTATAAGCCAAACTTTTTCCTTGATAATACCATAGAGATTTCGCTAACGGTATCGACATTGCTATAGACGCCTACACGTTAATTAATGACTGTTTAATTGAGCATCACCCTTTTGATCCATGATTATGAGAGCCTCAAACTGCCACACCATCATTCATTTATCGTTGTCAGTCGAGTTCCAGTTGATAGAGATCGAGTGACTATAGATAGAGTCTATATCGAAATATTCAAATTAAGTATTGAGCTCTATATCAGAGAATATTTCTCAAAGCGATAGAGTCCCGCAGACTGTGGTTTAGCTGCAGTCTCCACTATCAACATAGAGTGCATTATATGCAGCAGTGCACTATCGAGTCAATTGGTCCTTTGACGCGTTGACAGCTGCGGCCGAAGTATGCAGTGTGTCACGGCACAACAGGCTCATTGCAGCCGATTGATATCTCGGAAATACAGTTCCAACTAAAAATACTATCACACTGTATAAATATTGACCGCATTTTTAACAGTTCAAAAAATATCTTCGAGTATAATCCCACATGTTAAGCACGGCAGGTGCCGAAGAAAACTTTTAATGGAGAAATGTTGCTTGCTTTAAGTCTCTGTAAGTACCCTTACATACTCTTCAAACTTTCAAGGTCTTACAGCTCTGATATAATTAAGACTTTATCTACAGTTCTCAAGTCTCAAGATAATGACAGGTTTGGTTTGATTGAGTTGCAGCTGCAGCAACCGGCTCTACTTAAGCTTCCAACGAATTAACTCTAAAAATATTTATTTATATTGTGTATTAACATTATTAAAGATCTTCAGCTCATGCCAGTTCACTGTTTTCGCACCTGGTTCACTGCTCTCGTCAGCTGAGACGTTGTGCCTCAGGAAGAAGTCCTGGGAGAAGCTGCAGGTGGCCGCGGCGTCGGCTCCCACACACGCCACCACCAGAACCAACACTAAACACTTCATGTTCACACACAGTTGGGACTTATTTGTTTCGTTCGTTATACACACTCGCGAGTCGTTCGCAACGGGGGAGGAGACGCGTGCACCCACATCGAGGCGCGCTCCCGGACTGACGGCGACCTTACAGACAGCTCTACGCCACCACAGCGTTGCTGGTTGGTTGCTCGCCACAGATCGTGTAATTCGGAACAGAAATAAAACTATTAATTTTTCAGTGGCCATTCCGAATGATGATTTAATGAGTGCGCACGTTGGATCTGTCATCGCGGTTTTGAGGATGTCGTGCGATGACTGAAACTTACAAAAGAAAACGGCCGGGACAAAAGAAGGTGCGAAAGTCAAATAAAAGATAAACGGTCGTTTTTGTTTGGCAAAACGTCATTATCAACATTCATTCGTCGACTTTAATACTAAATACGGAGAGCTTTAATGGCCTTCAAAAGTTCAAAAATGAAAAATTAATCGTTTAATTCTGATTGATCTCGTATTCACACGAACATGAATGACGTCATGATCGTAAAAAGCGCTAACTCCACGTTTATGATCGCTTTGTGCATAATCACGATTGGACACGATGCTAATCAACGATACAAGGCCCGTATTACCAAATCTTATGCTCTATCAGCCTCTTATGCATTGAATTCGTACTCTATCTAACTCAGGGCAAAACATCGCTTGGCCCGTTTATTAATTTACTGGAAAGAACTACAACGAAAGCGGTTACAGGTTTGAATCCTCCCGGTGGCTAATAAGAGTGTGATGAATATGAATAAGAGCACAAAACTTTGACGACTCCCTCCGAAACGTGTTGTATGTTATAGGTAAATAAATCATCACCATCTACATACTTTAAAAAAATTATGACCATCAAGTCTAGCTTAAATTAAAAGCTCTATCGTTTAAATAACCATTAATGTCCAATGAAAACCTGCATTTTAGAATCAAAAGATGAAATCTGGATGAGCCACACGAAGATGGTCCCCAAAATAAGATGAAAGTGAAAGTGTAACTTCATTCACCGAAGTAGGTATGGATTTGTTTACTTAGGTATATTTTTATACACAAAATGTACTAACAACTTCGTTTCCTATGTATAATTTGTGCTATCCATTTGCTATCATAAAAATCCTACCTCCAATCTAATGCTGAATTCAAATTAAACGAAAGATAAGACATTTAATAAATTACACCAAATAATTGTTGTTAAAAGTAATTAACGAAAAAAGGTTACACTTAACACAGACAAAAAAAGCGCCTTGATTTATCTAGCCTCCGAGATAGAGTAATTAACTGAATTAAAACCTGCAATTAGCTAATTGTGCCGGCTAAAAATACATTGTACCTTTACAAGTCTATTTCTTTTTGGCCACTCTAAAAGTTTAATGACTTTTCAGACCGAGGTGCAAAGAACTCGATGGAAAAGTTCAGGGGTCCGCTGATCTTTCTGAGGGCCGAGGATCAATTCTGAACTTTATTGCAAGATTGTACCCACATTTTTGTCGTTTCAAGTTACGTAAGTAAGTACATATGTAAGGCTTACAAGGACTAAAATATATTTAAACGAAATACAAACTCCGTATCTAATGAAAAATAAGGTATCATCTGAAAAAATCTAACTAAAACAATCAATTCTATCTGAAGCAGCAACAGTCGATTTTAGTCCACTGCTAATGTTAGATAATCCAAATAAATACATCGCACTGAGGCACTTTCTGATAAGATTGTTTTTATATTACATTTTGTTTACAGTACACCACTGATCCATGTAAACTCAATGGATTACAGTAGCTATATTTCAAAGAGTCATTGCTATAATGATAGACACATTAGGAAAATGGTCTTCCATTTTCCAACATACGATGTATGTGTATGGGACTCTACTCTATGGAGTAGTAAATGTCTCTAGCATCACTTTGGTAAGGATTTCATCATCGGTTTCAGTCCTGAATCCAACTTACAGTTATTTATCCGAAATCCATGCAAAAAACAAGGCTCACGTCGCGGGTCGCCCCATCCCGAGTTAGGAAGTTATACCCATGGCTACAACTCCAAAATCCCTTGCCCAAAGCCTCTCGAAACTTTGCTTCTGTAGAGGGTACAAAAGTCGAAAGCCCTGAAGATCGCTCACCCGAAAGGTTTCCTCAAACAAAACTTTTATAATAAACGCAACTACAAAATCTTGGCGTAAGAAAAATCTCACTCGAGCTAATTTCCTACGAGAGAAATTGCGAAATGAAACCGCTCTGAAGTGCGGAAAATGAAAGATAGAAACAATAAGTCTGAAAGAAACTTACTAATCGCACTCAACGTAATTTGTTAGTGGGCAGTATGAATAAAATCGCGGGAGAAGCCGCGGGCAAAGGGTACTAAATGAAAATTACAATTCAAGTCTGAAAGTAAATGAAAGTTGGGAAGCTGTCGTTGCAATTTGTGCTCTGGATGGAGTTGCTAAAGTTGCAAATCCAATGAGGTGCCGGCGCACAGTAGTCGGCAAGCGGAAAAAAGTCCAAAATTGGAAGGTTCTAATTCATTAAAATTAGCATAGTAGCCTTATTGTAGAATAGTTATGGGATCATAATCACAAAAAAAAATCAATTAAACGTTANAAACAAGCTTTTGATGCTGTAAAAAGAATAAAATAAAACATAAATTATTTCAAACCCATCAACTTATTACTTTACTCAATTTAAAGATTAAAAACTTGTCGGGGATTTACTAGTGTAAAAAATACATTAATTACGTAACTTGATTTTGCTAAAAGTCTGCTCTGAGAAAAAAACAAATAGGTAAATTATACATTATTTCCTTATTATTATGTATGATGTACTGTCTTAGGTACGATACAACTACGGATTAAGATCGTTTAGTCGACGCAGCGTTGAAATTGTACAGATAAATGCAGTTTGCGCACTCAATAAGCGACGTCAAGCAATAAAAACCTAAAATTCGAACGCCAACTTTTTGCTACAACGCTCTTAAGCATAACAATAATGATAAAGGAAGCGACACACACCTCTGTACATTCTCTTCGACGTGCTGCAGAGATTGTTTCGACATTTCCACGAGGCGGATAGCTTCTGTGACGTCCTCCTTCTCAACCACATCTGATAACCTAAAACAAATATATTTAGTCGGGTCATAAGTTCTGTCACATGTTTATAGTGAAATAATTGATACTATATTTGTTTTTACGGTAATCATTTATATACCAATAGAAAGGTACTAAAACAAAGATTTTATGCTTATAAAAATTCTTTCAAATTTTCTTCGCAATTATGAATACAAGGGTTCAAACTGCGCAGTCAGTGGTCTCTAAAAACACGAGCGAGTTTCGTATCAATATCGGCGGCTGATTTAATACAGGATGCCTTGAGAGACTCCAAATCAGTATGAGGCATAGAACAGGCCTTCCTCTCTAAATGTTGCCATATTTTGTAATCCAACGGATTAGAGTCTGGACTGGATGAGGGCCAGACTTCGTGCCCGCTAAGGTCAATTTTACGCCCTACAAGCGGGTTTTGCGCGCTTTTCGCTCTATGAGCTGGCACAGAATCCTGCTGGAACTCCCAGTGTCTGTTATTGAGCATGATATGTGAAAAAGGTTCCATAAGCTTTGTGAGAACTGAATTTTGATACAGAATGGCATTCGTTTTTATGCCTTTCATGCAAAAAATACCTCAAAAAAGCCCAAATTTGAGACATGTTACCAAACCTTGAGTGACGATAAAAGCTGGCCTAGCTGGACAGCCGAAATTAAGCTGGTGCTTCTTCATTGATGTACGCATCCAACTTACCATTTTGTTTTTTTGTAGCTCTCCTCCATGGTAAAAAAAAACATTCGAAAATTTTTTTTCAAGGTACTTTTTTCCCGCGTACCGCTTAAGCAAAACGAGGGATTTCTTCAATCTCAGATCTTTTAAAAGCGCATCCAAGTGATTTTTGATTTTTATTCAAAAAGTTTGAAGCCTTGAGTCTTCATAAATACCAATTTCACCCTGGTTGTGCTTAAGTCTACCTCCAGGGCAGGCAAAGTCTGCTAACGCATGGGATTTTTTTGAGATCGCGACTTCGCAGCTTTTAACGCTGCTGGAGTCCTAACCGTGCAAGTACAATTACTTTTGTTTTGTGTCTTCTACACTTAAGACTTCATTATATCGTTTGATGAAACGATAAACGTAAAATTGATCCCACCAAAAACATTCTGTAAAAAACTAGCCAAGTCTCGATGGAGCTGCTTGTTTATCTCTAAAAAGTAATGAAATCTAGACAAAGTCGTGCCAAGTCTATGGTTCTTTACTGCGATTTCTTTTTTATTATAGTTAATGTTGTGTGACTTGGCCGTTGAAGGGTACAAAACCAGGTGCTCCATGACACCATTGCACCAATCTGTTGCCAGAACCACTACCCATTGATGATGGAAAATTGCCACTTGGAAAACGTTGATTTAATAACCAGTGAATTGTAGGCTTAATAAAGCTGCGTATTTCAATAATACTTATGCATGATTATTGATTATCTTAATAAAGATTGTTCAACGGCCAAGTCACACANATTATATATTATATAAATAAAAATGAATTGATGTTCGTTAGTCTGACTAAAACTCGAGAACGGCTGGGCCGATTGAGCTGATTTTGGTTTTAAAATGTTTGTCGTAGTCCAGGGTAGGTCTAAACGGTGAGCAAATACGCGCGCGATATTGTTTTTCTGTGACAGACAAAATTCCACGCGGGCGAAGCCGCGGGCGGAAAGCTAGTAAAAGATAAACGGTCGTTTTTGTTTGGCAAAACGTTGTCATTAACAACATTCATTCGTCGACTTTAATACTAAATACGTAGAGCTGTAAAGGCCTTCAAAAGTTCAAAAATGAAAAATTAATCGTTTAATTCTGATTGATCTCGTATTCACACGAACATGAATGACGTCATGGTCGTAAAAAGCGCTAAACTCCACGTTTATGATCGCTTTGTGCATAATCACGATTGGACACGATGCTAATCAACAATACAAGGCCCGTATTACCAAATCTTATGCTCTATCAGCCTCTTATGCATTGAATTCGTACTCTATCTAACTCAGGGCAAAACATCGCTTGGCCCGTTTCTTAATTTACTGGAAAG